TCTTCTTTATGCACCAAGAGCTTGTAACACTCCAAAGAGAAAGGAAAAACTGAAATCGCATCATATGACCCCTTTAAACATATTAATAGCCACAAAAATGTAGTTCAGGGAATGTACATACATTACAGTGAAACAAAATATTATATCAAACAGCATTGCCTTTTTCTGTTTCATTTAAAATATTAATAGGCTCACAAAAATATGGTTCAAGCAATGCGTACACGCATTACAATAAAACGAAATATCAAACACCACTGCCTTGTCGTTTTCTTCAAAATATAAAACACAACCATCATTTCGTTTTCATTTTAAAAATATAAAACATATTAATATGTGGTTTAGGTAATATGTGCATATATCAGTGTTGTATTACGATTAATAAATACATTTTTTATTAAACATAACTTTGTGCTCAGCCAAAACGATATGACCTGGAAGAAATAATAGATTCATGATTTACCCAAAACAAATTTTACCTCATGTTTAACCACTACCAGAGACATCAGAGTCAGCGGCAAATGTCAGAAGGACTAACCGAGGTGAAACTGCTCTCGGTGGATACATGAGCACTGAGCGCCCGGTGATCGCGTGGAGCTCACGTCTCCGAAATCGGTGAAGCATTTTCAAATAGGCGCTATTTTTATAAATAAATCGCAGGTTTGAGTTTTAAACAACTACATTCTCACCTGAAAAACTCTTAGAACTGCATTTCATGACACAATAACAGTAATATTTTGAAAATTATGCCGGTTTTCTCCTCCGCCATTAACGCTCGCTGGTTGGTTAGAAATGCATTCTGGGATACCTGGCTGCCTCAAGTTCGCACAAGTCACCTCTGGATGCATCCTTGATAAAAGGGGCAGAGCAAGAACACATCCAGGGATTTGAACTGTACTGTACTTGGATAGATGTGAACTTTGAATTGGAACAGTACTTGGGCGACGATTGATGACGTTTCACAAGTCCACAAGAACACAAGTACAGACAAGAACGCATATTGAGAAACAGCCTTAAAGTGCGTCCGAATATGCCTACTTACCTACTATTTAGTAGGAGAAAAGAGTATGTGAAGAAAGTAGTATGTCCGAAACCTGAGTAAACTGATGATTTGCATAAGGTGTAAAGACGTTAAATAGTATAGTATATTTGTGATTTTACTGTAAAAACACGTTTTATTATGAATAGCGAACAGGGGAGCTCCAGTAAGCACACGCACATCTCCAAAGTGAGTTTACATAAACCATATACATCTTAAAGACGATTACTAAATGTCTATTTAATATCTGACAGGAAAATGTTCTAAAAGAATTACAGATGAGCACATCACAACATGAAAAGACATCTGAATGATGTATGTGTGCTATTATGTAGTAGAATTCACTGTTGTCAACACTGCTTTAGATTAATATAAGTAATGTAAATAAACAAATCTACAAAGAGTAACTTAGTTATCTATTTCATTTGTCCATTAGTACTGTTGATAAATTGAGGAACATTTGTGTTGGGTAAAAAGTGAGTTAACACATTAGCAACTACCTCAACATGTAAATGCAGAATTGAACATAAATCACAGAGGTGACTTGACAAAAGAATTGCAGATGAGCACATCACAACATGAAGCAGACATCTGAGTAAGTGATGTATGAGCTGAATATGTAGAATTCACTGTTGTCAACACTGCTCTAGATAAATGTAAGTAATGTAAATAAACAACTCTACATGGAGTAACTAAACATAAGTTATCTATTTTATTTGTCCATTAGCATTGTAATATCAGATTACTTTTCTTAGGGAATTAATTATTATTAATTAATTCAGGTTTTGAGAGGACTCGACTTCGAAGATTCGAAGTCAACCTGATTAGAACTGATTTCAAATTTGATAGTTTACACTTTATCAACGGTCGGAGTGTCACATGTGTGGAACAACTCCTCTCTACTAGAGGTTGGTCCTAGCAGGGCGGCGGAGGAGAGTGTGTAGGTGTTGTTTAAGAAGGGTAGCTATATGTCTTTCTAGAACGACATAAATGATGTTAGTGTGGTGTAGAGTATGAGATTGTCGGTCTGTGTCAGTTGGTTTGATCTTCCCCCTTTTCCTGTCGGTTGGAGCCCTGGTGCCTCTTTGGGTAGGCCAGGCATTGTGCAGCGCACAGACATTGTTTGAGCTCGCTCATAGCCGTGTCCTGGGCTTCCGACCAGACGAAGAGTTCGTCTTTTCTCAGGAAGGAGGTTAGTGGTCGTGCGGTGTCAACGTAGTGTTCAATGAACTGTCTTGAGTAATTGCACACTCCCAGAAAGCTTCGTAGCTCAGAAATGTTGGTGGGTTTCTTTGTTTTGGATTGCTTGGGTGCGACTGGACTGTGGTTCGATGCCGTCTGGTCCGACTAGCAGGCCGACATAGTTCACTTTGGTTTTACTCCATTGTCCTTTGTGGAGGGCGATTTTCGCTCCTGCTGTTGTCAGCTGGTTCAGGACGTGATCGATTTCTTTGAGGTGGTCTGCCACATTTGAGCTTTTCAAAAGAACATCATCCACGTAAACGAGGTTGCCTCTGGTTCTGGCATCAGGGCATGCTTTGTTCAGGAAGATGTTGAATTCAGCTGGTGAGTTGGCATAGCCAAAGGGACACCGTGTGAAGGTGTATTGTCGATTGGCAAAGGTGAATGCCAGCTTGTGTTGG